TCTCTAGCAACCCACCCTCCCGCCTGGATTTCACAGAAAAATCGATAAAACTGCAGTTCGGTAGAACTTTTTTGCTAAAAACCAAGACAAAGTTACACGCGAACAAATTTTTTTACTGGATGAGCTGATGTTCTTTGCACTTAATGTGTAACATAGCTCATTGCGACATCGGCTTCACACAAAATTACAAAAAACTGTGAAAACATCAGGTTTTTCGTACTACTTAAAATAAAAACTTAAATAACTTCCTCAGTTTTATCCGATTTTCGTTAAACATGTCACAAAAAATTGCCATCATGCAAGAAATAAGATAGTGTGGTTTTATTTCTTCATATTATTCCATCCTAAACTGGCATTCGAACAACCTTTGATGCAAAAATTGTTTGAGAAGGATTATTGAAGTTTTAAAAGGGAAAAGTCCCCGAAGAACCTCTTATTAATCCCAGTTTTACAGTAAATGCGCAAAGGAGTTGCACATGCAGTTGAATCAAACTCTGACGCTTCATCCTTGTTTTTGTTTGTTTTTGTTTTGATTTGTGAACAATGCCATGCTATTTGAAAGTTATTGCGGCCATAGGAAATTTACTGAATATCTAAAACATTGAAACGATTTCACCCCGAGCAACGACCACACAAGATGGTTTTATTGATGGAATTTCTTTAAGAACATAAAACACTTCCGCTATGAATCTGCTTCTTCTCCCTCCCCAGCTATGGGTAAATAGCAGGACAGACCCTTTCTAAATGGATGGCAACTGATCTCCCGCAGAAAGAAATGGCAAACTACTGCGGAAAAAAATCTGCTTCGTCAGTCATGTATCGAAAGATACATGATCGCCAAAGCGTGTATCACGCATGGCACATAACTGACTGAAACACTTGCGAAGGACATACCGTAGCTTAGTATGATGCATGCAAGCCGGGACGCAGGCAGATATTTCTAGACAGCCATGGGCAAGACCGGGTACCTCGGCTAGTAATCTATAAATACTCCTCACGAGTTGTTTATCCTGGTTCGAAACTTGTCGAACAGTAAGTAAATCGTCTACCTCCCGATGACTCCACCTCTGATAGACCTATCAACGTACAATGTCTTAATTCTAAATAAGTCGTCATCCGATTTCTACGTTATGATACTGAAAATATATATCTATGAAGGTTTTCATAAACTTAATATTTACATATACCTATAGATATCTTACATCCTGACATACTTACAAATATAGTTCCATGTGTATGTATATGTATGAGAGAATAATATAAATGCTGCGCGTGTCTCTATATTTAAAGATATATGGTTAGTTCTGAAAATGTGTTATTGAAACTCGGAAAGAAAAACCAGACCCTTATCTTGATGTACAAGCGAGAAAAAAATACTATGAGTTTATTGATATTTGTTGTCCTGGTATGTGTTGATTTATTTATGAAACTGTGTTCTTTAAAGCGAGGGAAAGTGAAAATCACTAAGAAAATATTATGAGACAGTCACAAAGCGAGAGAAAAAAAAACACGCAAATGGAGAGTAAGACAAGGAGAATAAAATCTGGAGAGTAAGGAGAAACGTGTAAGGATGGTAGGAAGAGCAAGGATGGTAGGAAGAGTAAGGAGGCGAATGTAAGGAGAACAGGAAGAATAAAGAGAGAACATGAAGAAAACAAAAAGAACGGAAAGAAAGGCTTCCGAGAATAACCATCGAACAAGAATCGGTGTTATTTCGAAAAGAGCAGAATTAAATTATCCGAGTGAATAAAGAAAACCTCAATTCGGAGTAAGGCGTTAGCTAGTCCCAGTTCCAACCGCACCAGCGCCTGTTTCATCTTCTTTGCAAGTTTCTTTCCTTTCCCTCCCCACTGCCCGCACTTGTCAAAAGTCTACTCCAAAAATTCAATTACTTGTGTTGATGTTACCTAATACGCCATTCAGACGAGAAAAGGATGTAGGCTAGCAAGGTTCACATTGGCCGGCTGGTTGCTTTGTTCTTAATGGAATCTAAGGAGAAGAGCGATGTCCACTCTTATTTCCCTTGAATGAAGCAAAGGTCTTGAGTGGAATTATGCAGACAGAATTTAACTCTTTGGTGTTTTATACCGGTACATAACTTACCTAACGAGCTTGTGTAAATGGTTAACAGAACAGGGTTTAGGGGAGATTTGCATCAAGACAACATTTTCTAAGAGCTACAAAGGATAGGAAATTATAGAGGGTCGTGATTGCCAACGTCCTGAAAGGACATGTCACATAGAAGTAGAAGAAGAATGCCATTGGTAGAATCTGTTCATCAAATATGCCAAAACTTTCACTCTAGTTGTTTTTTTCCAACACACGCAATGTCACAATGCCACCGCTATTTCCAGGGCAATTGTTCAGACGAGCTTCATTCTTTATTTCCAACAGTTCAGAACTCCAGAGTCTGTCTATATTTCTGAGATGAGGTATTATGTACATTATTTACATTATTCGGACTATTGTCTTCATCTTTGTCGCCATATTTATCACAGCCACCTGAAGAAGGCCGAAACGGTGTGATAAATATGGCGATAAAGATGAGGACAATAGTCCGAATAATGTAAATAAAGTTCAGAACTTTCCAATCTCTCATGCTATTCTACTTCCACGGAGTCGAATCACTTATAGAAGTAGATAGGTTCGCCTATCATCCGGATTACTCTCCCCGGTACGAGAGTAGAGGTGTATCCCTTGTTCTTGTTTAGGTTTCCGGTTCCTTCTAATGTTTACTTCAGCTCCTCATTCCTAACGCTTGTTCTTTCCTGCTCTATTATAACTCCACACAGTAACCCTCAACCTTGAGTGGCTCTTGCGCCTTGAATTGGGTGATCTTTAGTAAAAAAAAAAAACAACTTCCTCTCTATTCAGATTATATCAGGTTTGAACGAAAGCTCTATCCGATTTTTGATGTGAAAATGTTCAAAAAATCTTTTAAATTATTGCCACTTTACATTGTTTAGTAATACTACCGAGTAATTTCTATCTTTTTTCGTTCAGATTATAAGAATAGTGTTCATAATATATTTCAGAACTTTCCCTTATGGTCCTTCTAACTAACGTATACGTTAGAAATGTTGTACTACATGAGTTTTTTTGTTTTTAATTGCTGTCTGCGCAAGTACGCCGTCCTGGGTATGACGATAAACTACGCCCAAAAGCAAGGCCTCTAATCAGGTTTTGAGGAGCATGGAACCACCTCTTAATTACTGGTTTTCCCGGGGTCCACTCTGACCCGGGGTGGCAGTACCTGTTAGGGTCCCAGCTTTGGGCGAATAATTAACTATTACCAGCAATACATTTTTGAAAGGCAAAAAGATTATTGCCAGCAATGAAAAAGGGTGGAAATGAAACAGAGAGCATAGTAGATAGATAGATAGATAGATAGATAGATAGATAGATAGATAGATAGATAGATAGCAAGAAGCAGAAAGCGAAAAAGAGAGACAGACAGAAAGTATAAGACAGAAATAATTTTAGAAAGGAAAAGCGAGAGAAAGAATGTGGGATAGAAAAAGAGAGACAAAAAGAGAGAAAGGAAAAAGTAATGTTTTGAAAGAAAGAAAGAAAGAAAGAAAGAAAGAAAGAAAGAAAGAAAGAAAAGAGAGTGAATGAGAGAAAGAAAGACAGAAAGAATTGTTAGAAAGACAAAAATGGACAAGAAACAGTTATAGAGAAAGAGGGAAGCAAAATTGAGAAATTGAAGAGATACAAGGAGAGAGAGAGTGAGGGAGGGAGAGAGAGAGAACGAACTATAGAAAGACTAACAGAAGACAAATTTAGAAATACAATGAGAGAAGACAGGAAGAGTGACAGAAAGAGAAAAAGAACCACAGAAAAAGAGAACGAGAAAGACAAAGAGCAATAAAAAAAGAAAGAGAGAAAGAAAGACAGACAAAATAATAGAAAGATAAACAGAGAGAGATTGATGCCAGCAGTGCTTTTTTTGAGGGAAAATTATTGCCAGAAACGGGTTTTTGACTCTACAATCTTCCCCCTTTGTCTATCTCTCTTTCATTCGCATCAGTCAGTTATGTGCCATGCGGAATACACGCTTAGGCGATCATGTATCTTTCGATACATGACTAACGAGGCAGATTTTTTCCCGCAGTAGGTTGCCATTTCTTTCTGCGGTAGACCACTTAGCCTATCAAGGCTATAGGACCCGGTTATTTTACCCATAGCTGTGAAGGGAGGAGAAGAGGATTCATACCTTTCCCGAGGGTATTAGTACGTAAGTTAGTGTAATGGATTCGACTGGAATTCGAACTCGCCTCATCTCACACACCTTATTCCTAATGACTATTTTATCAGCTACCATCTACTTTGACTGGCTCTCGAGTCTTATTTTAGGCGAAGTTTAGTATAAAACTCGATACTGACACACCAAATCCAGGCGGTAAAAATGTGGAAATGAAATAATAATCACTTAGTCGACTACATTTAGGTTTGACGTTTTTTAGGAGAGATAAGAAAAAGTCAAACCTTACTAAAAGCTACAAAGGAAGGAAAGTTGTGGAGAGCCTTTTTCCCCCATTTTCTGAAGGAGAATATATAAGCATGATTTCGGCTTATGTTATTACTGCCCACATACTTTGCCGCTACGCTATCAATTACATGCTGATTCTTTTTTTCTGCGTTAGTAAACTAAATATTTCTAATGGTAGGGAAGTTTTCGGTGTTTCATCTCTATGTTGTGCATTAAAAATCCAAAGGAAAATTGATTATTCGTTTTTCTACGTCTTACCAAAACCTTGCAGGATATTCAAAACCAAAAAAATATGTTTAGATTGTAAGAATTTGGGCGGAAATAACAATGTTTTACTGATACAAGTCCCACGAGTTAACGCATAACTGAGGGAAAAAAGGGAATCATATCTTTCCCAGTGGTATTTGCACGAAAGTGAATATAACCAACCCAACAGGAATTGGAACTCAAATCCTCCATTAACAATTCCGAGCAATTATCCATTGCACCATCTGTACGTCCAAGCTTATAGTACCAGGTATTCCCAAGCGGTTATCCATCTTGGTACTAAACAGGCTCGACGTTGCTTAACTTCCGTGATCGTATAGAGAACTGATGTTTCAACCTGATGTGGCCGTAAACATGAAGGAAAAAGATTGTTAGAAATTAATGTAAGAAATATTAACATAAAAATAATTTAATTATTATTAGTTTTATAATTAAACATATAATAATAATTTATAATACAATAATAATTTATAATATAATAATTTATGATATAGAAATTTTAAGTAAATTCAGCCGAATACGATTATCAGAAAAAAGCGGAGGCAGCCTATTTTCTTATTGATTAAAAGATGGCTGCAAATATTAATGATGTTGAATTGATGTTATGGTTTTTTATACAGTTTACGTGAAATCATCATGACTTGAACAATGTGGAACATAGTTTACTTTGAATTTCATAAGATTACTTGTACCTGGTTAAAAAAAAATTCGATATTAGATTTCAAGAAGCAGGTGAAAGGTCAAATGACATTTCCGAGTAATTTACTGCAGGAAAATTCTATAAATAATACTATTTTACATTTGACATTTAGAATGAAACTGCAATGGTTTTATTCAAAATAGTGACGTCAGCGTTTCTCTTGAAACATAAAAAAAGGTTCAGATGAGACTATATGAGATAAAAGAGAATGAATTTATGCGATATTAACCAGGAAATCGGTCTCAATTTAGTTCGACTGGCATCATTAATTTCACCTAAATAAGGGAGTTATAGCGTTCAATGAATTGTTCGGACTAACATCATTATCTTTGTTATTGTTTGTCTGTCTTCGAGCCACGATCAAAGCGTGGCATCTGTTCTTCTGATTTTAGATCGGTGGAGGCGTCTGGCCACAGAGATTTTAACTCTGCGGAAGCACCTTCCTCTTCTGCAGGTGGGGGGTGTAATATCAACGCCAGCGTGACATGGTGATGAAGACTGGACACTTTTTGTTCTTTGCCTATATGTACGCGTATGAGGAAGAACAACTTGTGCCATGTCCTGCTTTAGTGGGAAGGTCAGGTAAATAATATCATCTTTATCAATTGAATCCTCCATTTTTTGGTCAAACATTTCAACATCGCCGATTGTGGCACCATGCATCCAGGCAGAGAAAGAAAGGCAAAAAGGGAAAAGGAAAGAAAAGAAGAAAGGAAGGGAAAATGTAATACGAGACGGATCATAGGTGATAAGCGAACACACGCACACGGCTTAAGAGGCAATAATAAAAAAGGGTTATTTTGGATAAGTGGCAAATGGCGAAAAGAGTGTCATTACAATGACAATGAGATTGAATGGGTAGGGAAGTGTTATCTAAGGGTATGAAAACAAACTATTGGTACGAAAAGGCATCTTATTATCAAAAACACAGGCCACCGGCCAAGGGAAAAATTCAAGCGAAAATGTTATTTCGATAAGTGACGACAAGAAACAGGCGACTAAAAAGACTTTTGACAGATATGAAAATTAAAGGCCACCTGCGAGCAATCATTGACCGATTTTCCTACTTGGCCTGCGCGAATGGAATTGTGTTATCAAGAAATGTTCGCCAAAGAAAGTCCACTTGAAAACGTTAGATTTTGATAATTGACAAAACACAGGTGTAGGTACGGAGCCTTTTAGATAGATATGGAAAATTAAAATCCCACACAAGCAGTCTCGCTAAAACAAACTTTTGCCCTGCGATAATAAAATTTTGTTATCAGACACATGAACCGAAGGAAAATGAATGGAATAAGAAATGTTTTTATTTCTTCCTTGAGACGTCAGACCGACTGAAAACTTGGAGAAAAATTCTTTTCTGAGGCCATGTCATCTGATGAATTGGCGATAAACTGCTTGACAAACGCCAGGTGTTGAACAAAGAGTTGTCATATTATCCGTTCATGATAACGGCGATTTGAAAGGAAGAAAAAAAAGAAAGAGAAGGGATAATTAATTTTTTTAGTTAAGCAAGGTATTTTTTTTCCGAAACAAAGCCGCGGGTTGTTCACGCCCGACTAAGACGTCATTGGTCAAGTGCTGATCATATGACGCACGAAGGAGGAGGAAAGATACCCGACCAAGACCTCATTGGCCGAGAGTGATCACGTGACGCACGAAGAAGGCTGTCGACGCCCCCATCCAGAGTATAAGTATGAGAAGCTTCTACGAAGAAGTGGGGAGGACAGTTCACGCCCCTCAGAAGCATGGTGAGGATGTGGGAGTGAAAAAAAAGTTACCAAAAATGGAAAAGAGTGGAAAATCCCTAACCAGAAATAAAAGAGGTGGATATGTATTTAGAATTATCGAGGAACTCCCCGACGCCAACAGACCCAACCCGGTTTTTGTCGGCGTCAATAAAAGCCAGGCACCAACAGGCAGAAATCAGTTCGTTCGGCCCTGACGGCAGAGATGAGTGCCCAGTAGTTCGAGCCCTGACGGCAGAGATGAGTGTCCAGTAGTTCGTTCGGCCCTGGCGGCTGAGATGAGTATCCAAAGTTCGAGCTCCAGTTTCCAGAGTTGAAGCCGCCTCAAGATAGCTGACCAAGATTCACGCAAAATTTCGAACTCCTCTTCAACCAAGAACAATTATTTTGAAGAGCGACTTAGGACCAGACCACCGAAATAAGTTTTTTGACTTTCGTCCAAGGACACACCGAAACACAAATTTCTTAGAGAGCAGACAACTTGAAGCGTTAAAACTTGCCTAGCGAAAACGACGTGTCACAATCCACAGAACGGGTCGGGAGATAGATGCAGTCCTATGTATCGAACAACTAGACATAAAGTTTGTTACCTTTTTTCTTTGATACTTTGAATTTTTGATTTTTCATTTTATTTTCTTTTATGCATATTTGTGTGTTATCACCCCCGTTGAACTCAGTTTGCATTACGGCCCCAACCACTGTTTGATCTCGTCTGTCTAAGATCAATTCACAACGTGGGTAGGCAGACTGGAGATCAGTGCAGTTACCTTGGTAACCAGGCGTTGGAAGCAGGTTGGGAACGGCGAGGCTGATATCAAATCTAACCAGATTCCCACCCGAATCACCAAAAGGTTAGAACGTCACATTTGGGTGCCGCGACCGATACCAAGCCATTTGGTCGTCACAGGACGAGACAACACGACTGACGCGACAGGCGAACGTCACGTTTGGAGCAGCGACACCCGGACGAAGCAGCGAGGAGCGAACAGCTGGCGCCGCGGCGAAGACGTCACCATTGATGCCGTTTAGGGACGTCACATCTGGTGCCGTGACCATAGGATCGGAACCTGGAGCAGCCACGTCACAGATAAAAAAAAATGGATGGTTAGCTTCTTCATTAAAGAGAATGAAAATTATGAAAGCACAAAACTGACATAATTGGACTTATTTTTCCGTTTTTTGAAACTTAAATTGCCAAAAAGTATGAATTCAGTAAAGAAAATTTTAGATGCTATCTTTACAGTGGAAAAGTTTGCGCTGTTTTTTATGATATACAGGGTGAGGCAAAAGTCACGGACTACAGGGATAATTTATTAAAAGTATAATTACAAAGACATAATAGATTTACTAGTTTAATTGTTATATGTGCTGTTCAAAATGTCCCCGTTCTTTTTCAAAACACGTTCAATTCTGTGTGTACATGATTCATATCGGAGAATTTCCTCTGACATTTTTCTGAATTCATATTTAATTCTTTCTTTAAGTTCCTCAATATTTCTTGGGCGTGTCTGCTAAACAACTGATTTAAAATGGCGCTTCTGGTGACCTCGGATGCCACTCAACAGGACCTCTTCGACCTCTATTAACCGCTATGGTACGCGACTTTTGCCTCACCAAATATATATATATATATATATATATATATATATATATATATATATATAATCCGGTGTTCTTATAGATATTTTTATTTTTACAAAATAGTGCTCAATGTAATTTTAGAGAGCATTAATATTATAAATTAATTGATTTAAAATATGTTTTTTTCGCTACACAGTTCTAACTCCCACCTTCTCTCGTCTGTTACCCCTCCCTATAGCTCTAACATTCGTCCCACACTCTCTCTAAATTTTATTTTTTATTTCCGGAGTTGTTTTTTTCTGTTTTCTTTTTGAATTTGTAGGTCTGATGAATTGGATCGTATTTACGATTCCAATGGAATAAATTATGACCATGGATTATTAGTGTTTAAGCCTTTATATATATATATATATATATATAGAGAGAGAGAGAGAGAGGGAGAGAAAGAGAGAGAGAGAGTTTATATGAAAAGATATCAGTACTAAATTTTAATAACCAAAATAAATAAGATGATGCCGACATATTAACAAATATTTAGTGATTTTCCAAGCGTAGATCAGATGTGGCACAAGGCTGAAAGTATAGGGTACCCAGTGAGGATCGCACTCACTACTCATCGTAATTGTTCTAGCGAGACAAGCCTGCTAACCATTACACCACCTCGAGGTGCCCTAGAGATTTTCCAAGCGTAGCCGAAAGCATGGGGCATCCGGTGAGGATCGAACTCACTTTTCAGTAGTAACTGATCTAGCAAGACAAGCTTGCTAACCATTACACCACGCCGAGGTACCCTTATGAAATTCTAACCGTAGCTTTGATGTGGTACGAGACCGAAAGTATGAGGCACCAAATGAGAATCGAACTCACTACTCAGTTATATTTTTATATTAAGTAGTGTTTCTTTCGTCTGTCAGCCTGCGCACGTGAGAAAACATAATAAAGAAAATGAGTCCTCTGACAGGATTCGAACCTGCGTACCACTTGATGTTGCTTCCCCGACTTCGAAGTTCCTTGTAATTATCCATTCTTCAAGATATTTGTTGTTTGACTAAGTTTATTTTCATTTATTTTATTTTTTTTCCAGTCGTAACTGTTTTAGCGAGACAAGCTTGCTAACCATTACACCAGGCTGAGGTGCCCAATTTTTTAACAAATATTTACTTTGTTACTTTAATAATAATATAACATAATATAACAAATACAACAAAAATATTATAATTTAATTAATAATATAACATAACAAACCATTAATATATATAAAAAATTATAATTGAAAAAGATTTTAATTTGGAATAAAAATTTATAATTGGAAGGAAAACTTAC